CATGGGGCTGTGACACAAACGAGAAAGAAACCTTCACTGTGATGAGCCACTGCGATTGGGAGCTGTTTGCTGCAGTGGCCAGTCGGCCCTGAATACACACGGGCCCAGCAACTATGATTCTGGCGGCAGCAGAAACACAGCTGCCAGTCTGTCCGCTCACTCTGCGCCGCGCACACCCGAGGACGCTGGCTTGTCTCCAGGCTGGGGCTGCTGCAGGACCTCAGACGTGGTGACCTTGATCTGGGTGAGGTTACTTTTATAGAGTGTGGGGCACCCTTCTCTTCTCATGGGAGATAAAACAATGATCCTAAAAAGACTTGAGGATGGGCAGAGGGGAGCCCCCGGGCAGCCCACACTGGTGCCAGCCCGTTGGTCCTGGAGAGGCAGGACAATAACCTCAGGGAACGTGACCTTGAGGGTTTGTCAATTACCGGCTGTGTGATGCTGGATACACTACTTAACTCTCCTCCCCCGAGCTTCAGTTTCCTTATCTGTCCAACATGATCAAGAGGCTCTCTATGCTACAGCTGCTGCTAACCTGGGATATTCAGCAGCCGGGCACCCCTTCCTGGAGGGGCCTTACATTACAGGGTCACTTCTCAGTCAGTCTTACTCTCAACACTCCGACTCCTGGAGCCATACCCCTTCCGAGGAAACCTGACCCCCGGCCCCGGCTTCCCAAGCACCCTGGGCACCGCTGCCCACCCCAGGGAGTCCGTGTTCATCGGACGGGGCTGAGCCAGCCCTTTCTCTCCCGGGATTCTGACCTAAGAGGAACTGGGGTCAGCAGAGAGGGCGTGATGAAATGCTGCCAGGGGCCGTGTCGGGCCACGTACCAGAGGCGCCAACAGAGCAATCAAGGACAGAGAAGCGTGGACGCCCACGAAGGGGAAAGGCCACGTCTCTAGCGCAGTCTGCCCTGTAGAACCTTGCGATGTTCTGTGTCTGCACGGGACGGCTGGGGCGGGTGGCGGCTCCCAGGCTCAGTCTTAATTACAACCTGGCTCCCGACCACCTGAAATGTAGCTGGCGAGTCTGAGGAGATGGACAGTGAACCTCAGGGAACTGAGATAAACGTAAACTTGGCTCACAGTGATTCTGTTAAATTCCTTTTAATTCAGGTGTGGCCAGTGGCTGTCATCTCAGACAGTGAAATCCTAGCACCTCCTTGCCATCCTCCAGGCCAAGGGTCCCTCCTAGCCTGAGGGGTCAGGAGCAGCCCCTGCCCCCCGATTAAGCTGCACTGGGTGGGGTGTCTCAGGGTGGGGGCAGGGCCCCCCAAGGCTGTGGTGTGTGTGTGCGTGTGCGTGCACATGCGTGCAGAGAGGGGAGGACATGACAGTCCGGAAGGCAGATGGCGGTAGATCACACCAGGCAGGTCTAATGGAGAACCAAACGAGGCCCACTGTTCCCTTCCACGGGTGTGGCCTTGAACCTCCGTTTTCACAGTGTTTCCCTGCATAGAGCGCTTCCCAGCAGAACCTCCGAAGTGAGCTGCTCTGGGAATACGTCTCCCAGGCCATGAATCCCTTAACCAGCACCACTGACCCCGTGCCCTCTCTGCCCAGCTCTTGGTCTTGCTCCTCCCTCTGACAGCTCTGGGGGCAGCGAAGGGAAGAAGGGGGAGCAGGGTCTCAGCGCCTGTGCTGCCCTGGGTTTGCTGGGCGACCCTGGGCAGGCTAGTTAACCTCTCTGAGTCTCAGCTGACTCGTCTGTCGGGAAGGCGAGGGGAGGCACGGGGAAGGCCTTACAGGGGGCCAGGGGCTGGTTGCTGGGTCACACCAGCTGAGCCCAGAGACAGCCAGCCACTGGCTTATAATCACACAGCCTAAGTCCCAACTGCCGTAGGCTGGTGCCTTTGTATTTTGGAATGAAGGCGCTCCGCAGACAATGTGGTTGGTCTCAGTCCCAGGCTAACCTGTGAAAGGGGAAAACCTGCAGCAAGGGCTGCGGGCTGAGGAGCTGCAGAGAACGGGGAGCGTGGTGGAGAGCCGTGGCCCTAATGAGGACCTTGGAGCTGGAGCAACTGGGGGGCTCCCGGGAAGAGAATTGGGAGGCCAAGGGGGCTGTGTCCCACCCTCCCACCTTGGCTGAAATGTCGGAAGATTCCATGATCCTGACCGAAACTTGGTTTTCTCGTCTGCAAAATGGTATAACCTTAGCAACAAGGCTTCATGATGTTATGAGAATTTGTGAGAATTCAGGATGCTGTAGTATTTAAAGCCAGTGCGTAGTAGGCACGCAATCCAGCGGGTGCTGAGAAAGAGCTGGGAAACAGTCTCTTGGTACCTCTCTATGTTCCTAAGGCAAGGCTGGGAGAGACCGCACCCAGGGAGCCCTGGGTAGGAGGGGACTGGCGCTGACCTTGGGTGACCTTCCAACTCTGAAAGGCCAAAGGACCTTCCGACCCTCCAGTCAAAGGTTTAAACACTCACCACCCCGACCTGCCCCCACCCGCTGAGGGAGCGCAGGGAGGAGGAGGAGGTCTCTTGGCTTCTCTCCACCCAGACTTGCCCTGGGGTTCCCGAGAACCTTGAATTCATTAGAGGCTGCAGCTCTGAGCCTTGATTAAAAAGATGCTGTCTTTTTCCCCCCTCTTTCCTCCTCAGTTCTCTCCTGAGCAGTGATTTCAATTTGCAGCCGGCTCTCTCTGGGGTGGAGAGGAGGGCGGGGCGGGGATCGAGCCCCCCAACCCAAGCCTCCTCTCCCCCACCCGCCCCCCAGCCCCAGCTGCAGGCGGGATCGGACACACCTGCGGTGCACATTGATTGCCTGATTAAGGGGGAGATTGATTGGTCCCTGCTGTCATTAGCATATAGTTAGCAGTGACCTCTCTGCTTGGCCTCCGGCTGGTGGCTCTGACCTGAATGGATCAGCGAGCCTGATGGGAAACGGAGCCTGGTGAGAGGAGGGGCAGGGCGAGGCGGGGAGAGCTGAGGCTTCCCGGCGCCCAGGGGTGAGTGGAGGGGGAGGCCCCTCACCTGGCCCGGCCCAGGACCTTCCACTGTGACCAGTGGACCTCAGTTTTCCTCGCTTCTTAATATGAATCTTTTAAACAATTTTAATTTATTTTTGGCCGCGCTGCACAGCATGTGGGATCTTAGTATCCTCATCAGGGATTGAACTCGAGCCCCCTTGCGTTGGAAGCGGGGAATCTTAACCACTGGACTGCCAGGGAAGCCCCTTTCCTGGCTTCTTAGTGGGGAAATTGAATGCAGTGCTTCCTAAGAAAGCTTCGTCTGAATCAGCAAAGAGTGGAGCCCTTCCTCCCAAACTCCCCACCATCGCCCGCCTCCCTAGCCCCTCTGCCCATCTGGACTGAAGGTCCCTTCAGCTGAGCGCCCCTTCCTCTTCCAAAGTCCTTTCGCGCCCGTTGTCCTGCAGAGAGAAGCCAGCTGCTGGGGTGGGGGCAGGGAGAAGCCTGGTGTCTCTGGTCGGAAGGTCCCTGGGGCACCCACACAGCACTTGGGGTCTTTGTTTGGTGGGTGTCTCCATGTAGGGTGCCGAGGGTGGGGTTCCTGGTTTACCCACATCTGTGGTCCAGCACAAACCCCGAGGGGGGTGGTGCATGCCACCCCCCTGCCAACCACCAGAAGAGAAGGGTTTGAAGCTGTCAATCTTACTTGCAAAACAGAAATAGAGACACAGACGCAGAGAACAAACATATGGACACCATCGGCGGAAATGGGAGTAGGGTGAACCAGGAGTTGAAGATTGACGTGTATACACTACTGACACCACGTGTAAAATAGACGACTAACGAGAACCTCCTGCAGGCCCCGGGAACACGACCCAGCGCTCTGTGGTGACATAACTGGGAGAGAAATCCAGAAAAGCGGGGCTGCACGTGTCCATGTAGCACTTAGCGTACGGCAGAGACGAACAGTGTTGTGAAGCAGCTATGGGGAGAAAGTCGCTCGGCTGTGTCCAACCTTGTGACCCCATGGAAGGGTCCATGGCATCCTCCAGGCCAGAATACTGGAGTGGGTAGCTATTCTCTTCTCCAGGGGATCTTGCTAACCCAGGGGTCGAACCCAGGTCTCCCGCACCGCAAGCAGATCCTTTACCGGCTGACCCACCAGGGAAGCCCAGAAGACTGGAGTGGGCAGCCTGTCCCTTCTCCGGTGGGCATTCCTGACCCAGGAATCAAACCAGGGTTGCCTGCATTGCAGGCGGATTCTTTACCAGCTGGGCTACCGGGGTAAATGTAGCTATACTCCAATAAAAACATATATACTTAAAAAAAAAGGGGGGTACAGAAAGCTAGCTCTATACAGTGTCAAATGAAGCCACCATTCTACCTGCTCAGTGGCTGTGGAATTTGAAACTTTTTCATGAGGCAAACATTGTAAACACCATGCGCTCTGGGAGAGGTTGGGGGGCGGCCCCAGTGCCCCAGCCCCGCCTGCTGGAATTGCCCAGCTTCAGCGGGTCACTCTCCCTGCTGGTCCTCAGCATGGCACCCTGGGCGGGGCCTGGAGATGGAGCACACAGTGTGGTCTCAGCACAAACCCTGGGCTCAGGTTTGAACCCCAGGTGCGTCGCTTGGCGACGCTGCCACCCGAGGCTCACAAGCTCTCCAAGCGTGGCCTTCCCCATGCGTGACACGGGGTGATGATGTTGCTACCCTGAAAGGATCTCTGAGGCGTGGCGTGAGCGCTCACAGATGACGAGCTGTAGAAGGGGACTGCCTGTGTTTTCACCTGGCGAACGTGCATACAACGCCATGTGACATGTTTGCTTATTGACCTCCTGCAAGCACACACTTCAGAAGCAAATATAAAGGATGGAATGAGTCCAGTAACCCTGGGCAACTTGTGTCATCCATCCTGGTGTGGGATGATGCTGCCCAGCGCCCGGGACCCTGCAGGTGAGCAGCTGGCGGGCGGAGTGAGGCACCTTGGACTCGGGAGCTCCGGGGCTCTGTCCCTGGGGGTCTGGCTCAGCCCTGCGGGCTGGGACACCTCTTCTGGGGCTCTCAGAGGTGACAGTGGGGGAATTCCCTGGTGATCCAGGGGTTAGGACTCCGCATTTTCACTGCAGAGGGCCCAGGTTCAATCCCTGGTCAGGGAACTAAGATCCCACAAACCATGCAGGGGGGTGGTTGCAGGGGAAGCAGAAAAGAAAATGAGGGCTTTCCTGGTGGGTCAGTGGTGAAGAGTCTGCCTGCCAATGCCGGAGACGTGGGTTTGATCCCCGGTCTGGGAAGATCCCACATGCCACAGAGCACGTAAGCCTGTGTGTCCCAACTACTGAGCCTGTGCTCTAGATTCTGGGAGCCGTAACTACAGAGCCCACACACCACAACTACTGAAGCCCGTGAGCCCTGAAGCCCGTGCTCTGCAACAGGAGAAGCCTCCCCAATGAGAAGCCGCATCACAGCTGGAGAGTAGACCCTGCTTGCTGCAACTAGAGAAAAAGCCCACGCAGCAATGAAGACCCAGCACGGCCAAAACTAAATAAAATGGCACACATCTACTAAAAAAAAAAAAATGAAAAGAAAGGAGACACTGATGACAATGAAGTCAAGCCCAGACACTCCTCCAGCTCCTCAGAAGGGAGATTTCTACCTGGCCATGGGGAGGGGAGTCCTGGACCAGTGTATGGCAGTCGGGGGATGCTGGGAGGCCTGACAGGACAGCAGGCCTGGTGAGCAGGCCTGGGCTGGGCAGATGTCCGTGTTCCAGCCACATGCTGGCATCCCTGGGTGATGGAGCCCGTGAGACTGGTGGCCTCTTGGGTAAGGTCATGCCTTCTTTTGCCAGGTCTGCTGTGCCACAGCACTGCAGGCTGGGCGGCCTAAACAACAGACCTGATGCGAACAGCTGGCTCACTGGAAAAGACCCTGCTGCTGGGAAAGATTGAGGGCAGGAGGAGAGGGGGACGGCAGAGGATGAGATGGTTTGATGGCATCACCGACTCAACGGACACGAATCTGAGCAAGCTCTAGGAGATAGTGAAGGACAGGGAAGCCTGGCATGCTGCAGTCCATGGGGTGTCAAAGAGTCAGACTCGACTTAGCGATGAAACAACAAAACCACAGACATCCGTTGTCTCTCAGTGTTGGTGGTTAGAAGCTTGAGATCTGGGTGTTGGTAGGCTGGGCTCCCTCCGAGGGCCCTAGGAAAGGACCTGTCCCGGGCCTTGCTCCTCAGCCTGTGGACAGTCACCTTCGGCAGGCCGGGCTCCCTCCGAGGGCGCTAGGGAAGGACCTGTCCTGGGCCTTGCTCCTCGGCCTGTGGACCGTCACCTTCGGCAGGCCGGGCTCCCCCTGAGGGCCCTAGGAAAGGACCTGTCCCGGGCCTTGCTCCTCGGCCTGTGGACCGTCACCTTCGGCAGGCCGGGCTCCCCCCGAGGGCCCTAGGAAAGGACCTGTCCCAGGCCTTGCTCCTCGGCCTGTGGACCGTCACCTTCGGCAGGCCGGGCTCCCCCTGAGGGCCCTAGGAAAGGACCTGTCCCGGGCCTTGCTCCTCGGCCTGTGGACCGTCACCTTCACTCTGCATGTGTCTGTGTGCACGCGTCCCTTTCGTATGGACGTCAAGTTGGCACACAGCCCACCCCAACGACCTCATTCTAACTCTGACCTCTACAAAGACCTTGTCCCCAAACAAGGTCATATTCCCAGGTATGTGGGGTTAGGACTTCACTATATGAATTGGGGTGGCGGTGGGGGGGGGGCACATTTCAACCTAGAACAGGTCACTTTGAGCGCAGAGCGAGGGGACAGTGAGGCGTGGCTGTGGAATGCCTCCAGCCTGGTTCAGCCCGGTCCAGCCCTCCAGGGGGCAGACAGAAACCCCTGGGACTCAGGAAGCAGCAGCTCGTGGGGGTGAGATTGGGCCTGGGTGTTGGCCGTTGGCCCCCCAGCTGCGGTGCTGGGAGCTGGGAGCCTCCAGCGGGGGCCTGGCAGAGCCGGGCGGTGCCAGCCAGGGGGGCGGCCCCAGCTGGCTGGGCCGGAGAAGGCTTCCTGTGAAGCTGCAGGCTTTGAAACCTTGACTAATAAGGTTTCTTCTCTTTCTAAGTTGAATGAGTCAGTAGCTTCATATAGGACCCCATCTGTCCGACCCATCGCTGCCAGTCGGATTCTAGGCCCTCGGCCAATTCAGAAACCAAACCAGCTTAGGAGGAATCTGTTCGACAACTCGTTTTGCGAGTGTTCTGTTTTCCCTGGTGGAAGGGAGGCCTCTTGACTGCCCTTCTGGGTCCTGCCTCCGGAATGAATCTAGAATCCCGCAGCCAAGCAGCCTGGGTGGCGTGTGAATTAGCACCAGGAGGTGGTGAACGATCAGCAGACGTATGTCAGCCAGATAGGAGGGAGGCACTTTCCGCCGCGTTGTTGAAGGTCGGGAGGGAAGTCCTCAGCGGTCCGGGCCTGTCTCAGGTTTACCGCCTGGTCTCTCGTCCTGTGAGCCTTTCCTTTCCTGGAGGTCTCTCCCCCAGGACTTCGGGCCCCGGGGGACAGTGCCCGACACGCATCATTAATAACTGTGGGACGACGAACAAGTGTACAGAGAAGGAGCCAGCACACCACCTGGATTGGTCACAGGGGGGTTTGCAGTCTCCTGTGGGGGCCCTGCCTGCACGCTGCAGCTGGCTGATGGCAGTGCCCTGGGATTCTCCGAAACCAGATACACTGCTGGAGGAGACTCTGTGTGAAGGTGGGAGGCCTGTGAGGGCAGGTGCCACCCAGAGGCCAGGCTCCAGCAAAGAGCAAGCGAAATCTCTTGTGTGGGGTTTGGTAGTGGGGGGTGGAGTCAGAAGAGTGGAGCAGCAGGAACCATATGTGCAAAGGCCCTGTGGTGAGGGGTCCCAGACATGGAGGGTTCAGGGGGCCACAGGTCAGGGTGGCTGGAGGCAGGGCAGGGCCAGGGGAGATGCCCGCAGGACAGTCTCATGAGCTTGTCAGATCTCCAATGGACGCCGCTGTTTTTAGGACCCTCACTGTGTTTGGTTAGAGCCTGGGCTCTCTCTGTCTTTTGATGCTGATGTGATCAGATCTCATCTGAGCCTTCTTCCTCTCCCCCTGACTCCCGGCCGGCCCAAGGCCCGTTGTCCTGGGTGCTCATCAAGCCTCACTAGCTTCCCTTGGAGCCTGACTCCCGCTTGGACGCCACAGTCACTTCTGGGAGTGTCTGAATCAGTGCCACGTGCCTGCCTGACTGCAGGATTCCCTTGACGGGGACATTGTCTCACCCCGTCACTGTGTTTTCAGCTTGGCGCATGGAGATGCTCACAAACCTCTTCTCAGAGGAAACAGTGATGCCACCAGAGGGGGAACTGGTGCTCCTTGGAGGGGTTGGAACTCCTGATCAGGGTGGTCAACAGTTACAGAGTGTTTCTAGGCTCAGCTCTGGGTTCAGATTTCTACCCTGCCACTGACTGGCTTAGTGGTGGCTTCAAGTAAGTCCTGCAATCCTTCTCGCTGGGAGGAGTGGTCACCTGCTTCCTGTGCAGGACAGTGGGAGGAGTCAGTCCGAATATATGGACAAGGAGCCCTGGGCACAGAGCCTGGCACGGGGCGGGCTTGGTAGGCAGTGGCGGTCCAGCCGTCAGGGGAATCACTGACCGGAACCACCAGCCCTGGCCAGGCAAGACAGTGGCCTCCTACGTGAATGACCTTACAACAGGAGGCCCTTGTAAGGAACGTGGAGCTAATGAGCTACCCCCAATCAGAAGAGTTTGGGAAAAGTCCAGAGGAGAGAGGAGACACCAGTCCACATGTCCTGCCAACCTCCCAGAATCCTCCTCACTGGCCTCCAACTTGGCTGAACGATGTGTACACCACCAGGAAGGACCCCGAGTCAGGATGGTTGGCCAGAGACGGCCCACAAAGTCACCCCTTTACTACAAACCCCGAGAGCCTTGGACAATTCATCTCCCGGTGTTAGACAAGAGCCCGCCAGTCCCCCTCGCCCCCCTCAGGCCTGGCCGCCACTCACTCTCGCCCCAGGGTGGGAGGCAGGGACCTCTGATGGTGCCCCAGAACCATGCAAAGCATCAGCGGCCCCGAGCTGGTGGCCCCGTGGAGACCTGGAAGGCTCCGGGCTGCAGGCTCAGCTCGTGGCAATGGCCCCAGTCCAGCACGATGACCCTCTGGGTCCAGGGCCAGTGGAGCCTTCGGAAGAACCACGGGGCAGGGTGGGGGGCGCCCTGAAGGAAGCAGGCTGCCCAGGCCCTCCCGGGCGCTGTGCTGGAGCCGCTCAGACCCCAGGAGATGCCACGTACCCCAGTCACACAGTCTCGAGGGCCTGACTTTACATCCCGAGGCTCCGTCTCCTCATCTGTGAGCTGGGGGTAGAAATCCCTACTGTGTGCGATGAGAGGATGCTCGCAACGGCTGGGCACAAAATAGACCCTCAGAAGTCCCAGTTCCCAACTCCACCCACAGCCTCCCTGCACCGTCCTCCTTCCCCTGGGATATTTGTCCCCATCGCCTCCGACCTAGAAGCAAGAGCCTTCTCCCCATCTTAGGAGAGGACCCCAAGCCCCCTCTGATGGTAGAATCTAGGCACAGACCAGCTTCTCCGGAGCAGGAGGCAGTATTGACAAGAGACACTTTGCTATTAGCCATGGGACTATAGTAGTAGTATTTATCCTCAGTCATGTCCAACTCTTTGCAAGCCCATGGACTATACAGTCCATGGAATTCTCTAGGCCAGAATACTGGAGATGGGAGCCTTTCCCTTCTCCAGAGGATCTTCCCCACCCAGGGATCGAACCCAGGTCTCCCGCATTGCAGGCGGATTCTTTACCAGCTGAGCCACAAGGGAAGCCCTGGGAACTGGCCAGTAATTTTGACATTTCAGGACTGGACTTGGGGCAAGAGGTTTTCAGGCTGAATGTGAAGAAGGAGGTGGTGGGAAGAGGGAGAGCGAGGGGGGGTGCCAGAGTCCCCCCAAGATAAGGTGTTAAATGCCAGCTTCTCCACTTCCTGGCTGTGTGACGTTGGATAAGCCTCTCAACCTCTCTGAGCTTCCCCTTCTGTGCAATGGGGGTGGTAACCGGTGTTGACTCCTATCCCCAGGGCTGCACTGAGACCATGTCACTCTCCCCGCCCTTCTAAGTCGCTGCTG